TTCGACCTTACCGCCGCCGCGGCCGCAGCTGCTGCGGCCGCGGATGTCGGCACCATCATTTCTGGTGGCGGCCCCGCCGCAAAGCTCCAAATTTGACCAAAATCAGGCCTAGCTGGAACAGCCCAAAACCCTGCTGTGGGACCCACAGCAGTAGCAGCTCCGGCAGCCACATCATCCTTATTCCCATTTTCAAGGTTTTCGTCATCTGACCGGAGGCGTTTCCCGAGGATAAACGGCGCCGGTGAAATCATATGTGATGATTTCTGATCAAGTGGAGCCGAGAGCGATGAAACAAGAGATGCAGTTGAGTTCCGTACCGATACAGATACAGTAGAGAAACTAGCAGGGATAGTACCAGTACCAGTAGCAGCTATAATTGAAGGCTCAGCTTGACGAAGCAGCCATTCGATAGTTTGTCCATCGGATTTGTGACCCAATTCACGAGTAAGCTGAAAAACTCTTGCAGCACATACAATTGGCATCCTTATACGTCTTCCTCTACCATCAACCTTGCTATGCCGGTCTTTTACCGGCGGTTTTTTCACTGTTAAAGCACCATTTGTACCAACCCCAGAAGCCTGTTGTTGTTGTTGTTGCCTCTGAGGATCAATTATAGCTCCATTTCCTTCTGCAGACGTCGACATTAGAAGCACAAAACACTAGTAAAAACGGTGGTGGTGGAAGATTGCTGGGATTTATAGACAAACAGAGCTCAATTGAACAAAACCCAACAATGAAAAGGAAACAAATATTTGAAAATCAAAGTCCAAATAGAGTAGTGGTGGAGTTTATGAGCAAAAAGAGCTGAATTGAGCAAACCCCAACAAAGAAAAAACAACAAATTCACCAAGCTCTTTAATTTGGAATTTATGTTTATGGGGGGAAACAGAGCTGAATTAAGCAAAACCCCAAACAAAGAGGAAAAAACAACAAATATGTAAAAAAAAAAAACTTAGACAAATCAAGAAAGCAGCTTCAGTTGAAGTTTCAAGTAACAGAAAAAGCTTTTTGATGTGAGATTTATGGGAGAAAAAACAGAGCCCCAAACAACAAATATGTAAAAATACTTAACAAATCAAGATTCGCCACTCTTGTAAGTAGCGAGAGAATGAGCAAAATCCCAATAAAGTAAAAAACAAGTAGTATGTAAAAATAGTAGAGATACAACAATGGAGGAAGCCAGGTAGAATTAAGAGAGGGGTAGGGGGGAGAAGAGGACTAATGATTGAGAAGCAGGAACTGGTGGAGACAGGAAGAAGGGCACATGGGTGGTGGGACATTAGTACTACTCTCTTACATATATTCACAGCTCATCCCTGCTAGCAATCCAGTACAGTACCCACTACCCTCTTTCACGCGCTCACTCCTCTCTCTTCACATTCACACAAAATTTTCACTATCTCTTTCAATTTTCACACTTTCTTTGGACAGTGTGTTACGTTGTTTTTATCCTTAATCAGAAATTTTGAGTTCGAGCTTAGTGTATGAAAAGAAAATTGGAGGAGTATTTATAAATTGGAGAGTGTTAAAACTGACATAGCAGAGATGAGTTAAAGTGTGTAGATGTGTATACTTAAAATTGAAGGTTTATATAATAACTAAGATTACGTTTAATGTATTTTTGCTAAATTTTATTTGTACAAGTTATTCTTAATTTTAAATGTAGTGTATTCTACTTCCTTTAATATTCTTTAGAGTGATATTTTTAAATAATTATAAAATATAGTGGAAATTATATACATTATTATATAACATATGTTCACTTAAAAACGTATGTGTGTATTTAAAATTTTAGTTGCTACTATCTATATCAACCTCACTTGTTCACCATTATCAGAATTTCAGATGACTGCTGAAAAATCAATGCTTTTTTTTTTTTTGGAAATCAACATTTTTGAAGGATTCTACAAATAAAGAAAAAAAAAACTTTCCTAAAATTCACAATGCTTTCGAAAAATTTTGGAATATCAATTGTTCACAAAGTTGTGGCTTTCTTTCTTATTTCTACTAGAGTTGTCTCTATGACAAATTCAAATTCTTCTCTTATGTATGATAATATTTATGGAAATTGTATGGTGTATGTGTATGACTGTCCATGTAAGAATAAATACTTAGACATATATTTTAGATGTTGAATTTCTCATGCACACAACATTTACTTTACATTACATATATTTAATATATCTTTCACATATAGTTAGTTGTTAGCCTGTCTCACATAAAATTAATCAATGTTGTACAAATATGGTATGAAAACACATATATTGAATTAAGTTAGTCATAAATACACTTATAATTGATTTTACATATATTTAAGAGAAAAGATATCAAACCCTCCCAATCGCTCGATTAGTTGAGTGTTAATTTGATTTATCCAGACAATTTTATAATATAATTATTTTGTTATATATATATCACAAATACACATACATATAGGAGCCGTTTGGTTACTGGTTAGAGTTATGCAGGTATTAGTTATGCAGGTATTAGTTATGTAGGTATTAGTTATGCAGATATTGATTATGTAGGTATTAATTATACAAATATTAGTTATGTAGGTATTATTTATGTAAGATTTAGTTATGTAGAAATTATAATAAATATATTATTACTTATTGATTGTTTAATTTATTGTAAATTAATATATTTTTTATTTAAAATAGAAAATTATAAAGCTTGTATCCAAGATAAAATGCAACAG